CTAGTAAGCCAGATTAGGTCCATGAGTTATTTATTTTTCTTCCATATATTTTCTTACCCTGTTAAATTGATGAAGTTCGTTCCCAGGAAGACATACATCAGTTCATTGACTATCAACTCTTGGGAGTTCTGAAAGACAATTTTATTGAATAGTACAAATTTCATGACATTAGATATACTGGAAGAATGTTGTAGACCAAGGGTGTCAAACTCAATTTCATTGAGGGCCGCTTCAGAATTATGGTTGCTCTTAAAGGGAGAATGGGCATGTCTGGGTAGGCATGGCCAGCTCGGTGCTGCTCATTAGGTGTGGCTGACTCGGTATGGCCAGGTGGGCGTGGCTGGGTAGGTACAGCCAGTCCAGCTCTGCTGACTTAAGATGGCTGTCACACTGAATAATTAATTGCCCCACAAGCATCTTGCCTCCCCAAACTGCTGGCAGACAAACATATCCCCATGTGCACACACATACCACATTCCAGGTTTGGGGGCTTTTATCCACAGATGTAGATAAAAGCCTCCAAGCTTGGAATGGTGTGTGCATGCATGCTTGTAGCACGCCAAAGTTGGATGTAAGCCCGGGGTATCAATAAGCCATGCTTGGCCCCACCCCACCTGCACCACACTTGTGCACCTAGGGGGCCCTGCAGCCAGACCTCGCCTCGCCTCATCCCTGTGGCAGTGGCACTGGCAGCAGCATCCCTGTCCAGGTGATCCATCTGCTCTCCTTCAGCCCAGGAGCTTGCGAGCCTGGAGGGGAAGTTGCCATCACAGCCCACTGGGTGAAGCAGCTACCTCAGAGCAGTGCCCAGCCACACTTACCTCCTCTTTGAGGCTGCTGCTGTATTCACTCTCCTTTGCCAGGTTGATCAAGGTGGGTGCAGGAGGGTAGGGGGGTAATGCTTGTGGGCGCCACTCTGAGGTGGCTACTTCACATGGTGGGCTGCAACCTCAATTTCCCTTCTGGGCTTGCAAGCTTTCTGTACTGGAGGAGAGTGGAGGTATGGAGGGGCAGCAGGATGCTGGATGGGGCTGCTGCTGCCAATATCAATGCCACTGCCATGGGGGCAAAGAGGAGTTAAATGAGGTGAGGCGAGGCAGGTGGTGGGGCAGGGGTGGCCTAGTTGGAGGACCCAAAGGTGGATGTCCCAGGGTCACATCAGCTGGCTGTTGCTGCTGGCCAATGAGTGGCTGAGGGGTCAATGAGCTGCAGCTGCTGCTGGGCATGGCCAGCCCCTACACACTCACCACCTCCTGTGCATGTGCCCAGGGAAAGCGCCCAGCTGGCCTTGGGTGGGCCAGGGCTGAGGGGTAGGGACCAGCCCCTCACCATCTCCAGGGTAGCCCTGCAGGCCAGATCTAAACACATCAAGGGCTGTATCTGGCATGCAGGCCTTGAGTTTGACATTCTGTTGTAGAGTATCCAGCAAGTGTATTTGTGATAGAAAAAAATGACTTCAGCTGTTTAGAAAGATTTTAAAACCTTGAAAATTGAGAAAGACATTAAAAATTGATGGCTTGTGGTATTCAGTTGTAGGCTGATAGTTATAATTACATTTTACTGAAAAACAAGCAAAATCCCTGGCGAAGGAATAGAAAAAGTTGGATAAAGATAAGCTTCTGACAGTGGCAGCTTGAAACAATAGATTCAGCCAGTTTGAAAGGAAGGGTCTGGAGAGAAAAAATAACCTGCTTATTCCACTTCCTTAATTCTGAAAGATAATGTGCAGGAAAAAAAAGTTTGCTTTGTTATTTTATTTCATTTTATTCTTAGTTTCCTCTAACTGTAAATAGTGGGAAACCATGCCAACTGAGTTTTGGCAGTTGTGCTGCTCAAATATGGAGAGTAATAAGAAATGTAGGACTCTGTAAGAACAGTGAAGAAAAGGCTTCAGAAAATGCAGATTAATCAAATTGGTGCTATTGACTTAATTATAAAGAGCTTACTTTTGTAGATCCAAAATCTATCTTCACATAACCTACAAGAGTAACCTCCTTATAATTTTTTAGGAGAAAGAGCAAAGGATTTGATTTTAACCATTGCAGCTGATGGAAGCACTTTTTTTTTTATTATTATTTTTTATTAAAAGTTTTATAAATTTTACAAAAAAACAAAAACAATACAAAACAAAAAGCAACATATACAAAAAAGAAACTAAACATTACATATATATAAACCCCCCCATCCCCCACCCCTCACAAAAACCCTCCCTACCCCCCCCTGAGCTTCCCAGAGCAGAATATAGGCTTAATTAAAAATTAAGAGATAAAAATAAAAAATTAAATTAAAAAATTTATATTTATATATATATTAAAAAAAATATCTATATATATATATAAAAATAAAACTTATAAAAAAGCTATGTGATATTTTTGTATACCCAATCTAAATTGTATAAATTTTATCCATTTGTCCCAAACAGCAAGGAACTTCTCTTGCGTTTGTTGCTTTAAGAAAGCCGAAATCTTTGCCATTTCCGCCAGATAAGCTACTTTAAGAAAACATTCCTGCAATGTAGGCAAAGATTCCTTCTTCCAATATTGTCCTACTAACAGCCTAGCGGCTGTAATCAAATTTAACATCAATACAACCTCCTTTGTATCACAATCTGTAACAATGCCTAACAAAAATAATTGCGGAGTAAATTTTACCCTCCTTCTAAAAATTCTCTGGATATTCCACCATATTTTGATCCAAAATGCTTTTATCTCTCTGCATGACCACCAAATATGATAATAGGAAGCATCCTTATAACCACATCTCCAACATTTGGGTTGCACGTCAGGGTACATAAGAGACATTTTTTGTGGATCAAGGTGCCATCTATAAAACATTTTATAAAAATTCTCCCTAAGGTTCTATGCTTGTGTAAATTTGACATTTCTCACCCAAATAGTTTCCCAAATGTCCAATGAGACTGGGACACCAAAATTCTGCGCCCATCTAATCATACAATCTTTAATTAATTCCATTTCTGAGTCCATTTCAACCAATACCCCATAAATTCTCTTGATATGGGTTTGTCTTTGATCCTTGACTTGCTTAATAAGATTTCCATCTTCTCTAAGAAAACCCAATTTACAATCCACCTTCCATTTATCTACTAGTTGCCTATATTGAAACCAAGAATAAATAATATTTTCTTGCGCTAAATCTTCCCGTAATCTTAACTGCCAGTTTTGCCCATCCCATCTAAGTAACTGACTATAAGACACCATGTCCATTTTTACTCCTCTTTTTATTCCTTCTATCGCATGCCAAGGTATAGCCCATAATGGAACTTTAAAATCACTTTTATAATATTTTCTCCAAACCCTAAGTAAAGAAATTCTTAAAATATGAGATTTAAAGACCCAGTCCATTTTTTTTATTAAATATTAAATAGGCATGCCACCCATAAAGTAAATCCCATCCCTCTAAATGGAGTATCTCAGGATTTGTCAAATTTAGGAAGCACTTCTTTAAATACCAAGTAGAGTCATTCAAAATCCTCCCAAGGAAAAGGTTTTGGCTATTTACTAAGGAAAAAATTCCCAAGTAGGCAGTGATATGTGTTACAAGCTGCAATGACATCAACGTGCCAATATTTTGGTAAGTAAATCATGCCAAAATGCAAGTAAGTAAAGCATGTCATATGTACAATGGTGTTGATATTGATGAATGTGTTGTCACTTGCCCATGTAAGTATGATTTCTAAACACCAGGACTGAATAAAATGCCATTTCCTCATCTTTCTGAATATTCTTTTGAAATCAAGCATCCACTTTTCTGTTTTGGGCCTTCATCAAAAGCATTATCTATTCCATCAGTGAGAATTGCCAAACAATCAAAACTTTAAAATGACATTTTAAAAGAAATGCTGAGGTGAACCCATTGAAATTGTCTTTAAATAATGGACAAGACGTGCCATTAAATCTGAGTAAACATTTAGCAAACAAATATGCTATTTATTCCAAAATGGATGCCCAGCATTGTCAGCTGGACTAGGCTTTTAAAAACAATCTTTCAGTAGTAAATTTTACTATAGAGAGATTGGTAGACTGGCAAGATGCTTCATCATTATAAATCCTATACATTCAGTCAAAATTAGGGAAGTGGATTAATTATGATGTTGAAAGAAAAATCTTCATCAGGTCCAGTCCAAGCTGGGAATAAATAAAATGGAGGCTGCTTAGGAAAGAAGATTCTGTTTATTGAGTTGCCAGAAACTTCAGTGACACAGCATGTTTCTGGAGTGACTGACAAAATGGAGCTAGGAATGGATGGGTTTTTATACCTTTTTGGGGTTTTATGTTTGGAGTTGTTCCTGTTTGAGGTTGTTCCTGTTCCTGTGTCATAAACGTTGACCTGAGCTTGAGTGTGCCCTTTTGGTATTCTAATGGTGGTGGGTTAATCCTCCTAAAGATCATGTTCCTTGGAGTCTTTGTTTTTCTAATCCCATCGGCTCAAACCTTCTCTGGAGCTGTGGCTAAAGGCATTTTGCTTATGAATAAGTGGCCGAGTCTTTCTGAATAGGATTATCAAATCTGCATTTCTGCAGAGCCTGCTCAATTTCTGCCTAGCGGAGAGAGAGAAGTTTCTGCTTTTTAAGATTTTCTCCATTATTCCTTTTGGGAAATATAATATTCTGCCTTTTTTAATATTCCCCCAAATATTTCCTTCTCTGGTGTGTGTGCGTGCGTGTGTGTGTGTGTGTGTGTGTGTGTGTGCTCACTTTCTACAATGACATTTAGTTTAAAACAGAATCTCTGTAAATAGTGCAGCAGGTTTCTGCTCATTTCAACCCATAGAGGCTGCCCACCAAGTTAGAAATACTGGATGCTCTAAAATCGTTCCATTCATTGTGTCACATTTTAAATTGTCTCATTTGAGTATATAACCCTCATTTGTAACTTCAACTCTGCAAATCACTTACTCTCTAGAGCTATAAGCAAGATAATCTTAAAATAAATCTAAATAAATGTGCTATGAAGATCAAAGCTCTTTATAGAAACCCTGGGATTCAGCCATACTTCAAAAAATGATCCATGTTTTATTACTTTGTTGTTGTTGTACATTTCAGGAGAAGCAACTAACAGCATATAGCCAGCAGCCACTCAGCTGTACCAGAGAAATCTTGTTCCACTGCTCTTGACTTGACTGATGAGATCATAATGGGCTCGTCTTGAATAGTTCTGCTCTTGTCCAGCTGTTGCCAGATTTGATAAAGTTCCTCCATATATTCTCCTCATTCTGAGAAGATGCAAACACAGAGCCCAAATCCACATCATGATTTGCTTGATAAATTCTGGCACAGTCTGTTGTTTTCTAATTGCTGGTTGCAAATTGCTGATGGCAAATAGACTCTTTAACTAGCAATTTATGAAAGTGGCATTTTGATTAATCAGACATTGAAACACTCTGATTTTTCTCTCTCTCTCTCTCCATTGTTTTCTTCTTCAATCTAATGAAAATTCACTGTTCTATCTCATCTCTCCTAAATACAGATTGTTCAGTTTGGCAAGCATTCTCAAGTTTTCATTCATTGTATATTATTTAAAACACCCAATGAGAATTTAAACATGCACAAAGTACATTGTAAATCATTCACCAGCCCAGTGCTTAATGCTCAGAGTAATTTCTAAGTAAAGCTTTGTTTTATTGCAGTGGTGGGGGAGCACATAATTATTAACTAGATAAGCACAAACTTATTTTCAACAATTGAAAATAGGGAGCCTACACTTTTCCAGAAGTTAGTGAACTACAGTTTCCAGAATTCTAAGACAATATGGGCTATGAAAAAGGGTGCTGGGAATTGTATCCTAACAGCATCTGAAGAGCAACAAGTTCCTGTCCTTTCCTTATAGAACTTCATTGTGCCTCTAAAAACAAGTTACCATTTCTATAAACATTGTATAGGCAGACAAATTATGGGACTTCGATGGGAGGTTTGACTCTGTGAAAGCAGAACTGGTAACTAGAGCAAAACCCAGCCAGATAAGGAGAGGATGGGAGATCACCCACATGTGCTCTGGGCAGCTGCTTACCATGAGGAGACTGCAGAAAAATGGTTTTCTGTGGGTTGGAGCAGGAAAGTGAGATTAGCCAGCTGTTTGCAACTGCACAGAGACCTTTAAAAGACACTAAATTTGCAGGCCTCATTTTCTAATCACTTTCAGAAATTGTTCATTGATTCTAAACTATTAGAGACTTTTGGAATGATAAATTTGAAAATGTTTGTAGATAAGAGCTGGGATATGGGATGAGGAGATAAATGTTACAATGTTACAATGTTTGTAACTTTAGAGAGGGTGAAGAGTTTCTACATTTGATTATACTTGTGATGAAGACACAGACAGACAGAGAGATAAACATATATAATGTTCTTCTATCTTTACTCACTTTTACTTTTTTCTTTCTTTTACCTTGTGGTATTCTGTATTCTCTTTTGTTCTTGAAGTTTAACTTATATTAGAGTTTATTATTGTATTTTTGTATTGTATTTTTAGAGTTTACTATCATAATTAAAATTCTTAATAAATATTACACACAAAACATAAGAAGAGAAATCGAGCATCACAAGATACCATACATTTATGTCAAGAGACTAGATGATAGCATTCAATCTATCAATTGTTGTGTGTGTGAAAGATGGTATTGATTATTGAATTGTGATTGAAGAAGAAGAAAGCCTAAAAGGTGAAAAATTAAAGTTAATCCTCTATTGCTTTGAAATAATTGCTATCCGTTAAAGTCAGTTAATAAGAGAGTGCCTGTTAGATGTCCTATACTCAATTAAATATTGTAATATGAAAATCCTAAAATCCACTGAAATCTATTTGTACAGACTCTTTTTTGATGATGATGATGATGATGATGATGATGATGATGATGATGATGATGATAATGTTGGAAGGGACCTTGGAGGTCATCTAGTCCAACCCGCCCTCCTCCTCCTCCTCCTCCTCCTCCTCCTCCTCCTCCCTCTACCAGATCATTAAACAAGCTGACACCCAGGGCTTGTAGGTTTAAACTCATCAAATTTCCTTTGGATAAGATGTCTACTTTTTGTGCAAATGTATTAGCTATTACACATATCCACATTGGAGACTGTATCATATACTGCATTTCTTATACAAACCACTATATCTTATGACATCATCATGCAAATAATACAAATAATTGTGTCATGACCAATGCAAATTACATCATTTACTCATGTGGCCACGTTTACTCTTTTGCCTGCTACAGATGCCCACAGCTTGTGTGTGTTATAATACTAATGCTAATACTAATACTAATACTAATAATAATAGTAAAGTTGAAAAGGACCTCAATAATTATTTTATTGTTTTATGATTGTTTTAATCTCTGTACGCCGCCCTGAGTCCTTTGGGATTGGGTGGCATATAAATAAAATTAAATACAAATTAAATACATATCTAGTCCAACCCCTTGCTCAGGCAAGAAACCCTATATCATTTTGGACAAATGGGGGCTATTTATTTTTTTAGGTCCAATTTTAAAGCCAAATCAAATGCTGAAACTCAATGGGGCTGATTATATCCTTCGTATTGCCAATTCATACTCCCCTTTCTATGTATTCTGCTTTTCTTTCACTTCAGCTTTGTTCTCCATTCAGTACCCTGTCCCCTTTCCTGTAATATAACCAAGGGGACCAAACAAAACACAGACAACAGCTCCATGTTTATTTGTCAGTACTAATCTCACTGAACAAATGACTTTCTCTGTCCCTGCCTAACTTTTCCCATAAGAGTTACATAAAAATATCTTTCATAGAACAAAATAAAAATACTGATGGAAGGTATGAAAGGGAGTGCAAGGACCGTTGAGAATATTGTCAAGAAGGTCCTGCCCTCGCTCATTCTCATCAGTACAGCAGTGCACACAAACACATAGACACACCACCTCTAAAGCTCCTTGTGGAAAAGAGCTGAATCAATGAATCTTAGTGGAAAGAGGCTTGTTGACTGTGGAGGCTCTACATATCCACCAAACTCAGTCATTGTGTTGGAGGTTATCCAAATACCTCCACTTCCAAATTTCATTTTTTTTTCTCTGGTCCTTTTGTGCTGGCTGCCTTCCTTCCCTTCACTATTTATGATGTGCCACTTCTGGTTCCGGTTCACAGCGTCTCTAGCCAGACAAAGAGACTTGTCTCCTCGTCGGCTAGCTTCCCTCCGCCGGTAGACCCTTATGCTGGCCGAAAGTCGCCCTGGAGGGTGCGACTTCTGTCGAGGAGCTTTGCTTGGCTAGGGAGGAGCGGCAGCTCCTCCAGCTCTCCAAGCTATCTCTGAGGGCTGACGGAGAAGAAGATTGGCCAGTAAAATGGCTGATCACCCTGCCGCTTCAAACTGCAAGTCAAACAACATCTAAGCTGTAAGAACCACCGTGGTGAATCCGGGTGAGATTTATTTTTTTCTTTTTCCTGCTCCTCTCTTCATTTTATCTTGCTTTTTTTTTTTTTTTTTTGCCTGAAAGAGCCTTGTTGGAATTATTTCCCTGGCTTGAAAAGGAAACTTCTACATGTTTGGGAAGAAAGGCATTGAACAAAAGAATACAATCAAATTTTAAAGACTATATTTTACTTTCATATGCTTTGGGGTACAGAAAAAAAAATTTTTTTCTAAGAGCTCTACTATCATTTTATGTTGGAAGATTATTTCTTTTTTTACATTATATTGCAAAAGAAAGAAAAAGGGAAGAGAAAATGGTGTCTGGAAAAGTTTTTTTTTCAACTTACTGAGGACATCTAGTGGCAAAAATCTAATATTGCAATTTTTGGTTACTCTTTGGAGGTGGAATAGATTAGAATTCAACATTATAGAAACACAACCAATAGAACACAGTCAAACTAGAGTCTTGGACTTCAAGAGAGCTAATTTCAATAAACTTAGAGAGGGCTTGGGAAGGAGTCCATGGATGAGAATCCTCAAGGGGAAAACAACTCAAGAAGCTTGGGAAATTTTGAAAAATGAGATAATAAAAGCACAGTCTAGCACAATACCAACAAAGAGGAAAAATAACAGCTCTCAAAAGAAACCAGCATGGCTGCATAAAGAACTCTCTGACAAATTGAAAGATAAAAAGGACAAGTATAGAAAGTGGAAAGAGGGGAACATAACTAAGTCAGAATATCAGCAAATATCCCGAGCCTGCAAAGATGAAGTGAAGAAAGCCAAGGCTCAAAATGAACTAAGGCTTGCGACCAAAGTCAAAAATAACAAAAAAAGCTTCTTTCAACATGTAAAAAAACAAGAAAAAAGTGAAGGAAATGATTGGTCCATTAGTGGGTGAAAGTGGCAAGAAGGTGACAAGCAACAGGGAGAAAGCAGAACTATTTAACTCATTTTTTTGCATCTGTCTTTACACAAAGGGAAAAAACAGACCAACCTATCAAAAATAGTGCCATAAAAAACAAAACAGAAACACAAGTTAAGATAGGCAAGAAAATGGTTAGGGAGCACCTGTCCAGCCTAGATGAGTTCAAATCGCCAGGACCAGATAGATTACACCCCAGAGTTCTCAAGGAACTGGCAGATGTGATATCGGAGCCACTGAACTATATTTTTCAAAGATCCTGGAACACGGGGGAACTACCAGAGGACTGGAAAAGAGCTGATGTAGTTCCCATCCTCAAAAAAGGAAAAAAAATGGATCCAGGAAATTACAGACCTATCAGCCTGACCTCAATACCTGGGAGATCCTGGAAAAGATAATCAAACAACGAATCAATGAACACCTAGAGGCAAACAAAGTCATTACTAAAAGCCAACATGGGTTTGTCAAAAATAGATCATGCCAGACAAATCTTATTGCATTCTTTGACCAAGTGACAAAATTAGTGGATCAGAGGAATGCTGTGGACATAATTTACTTGGACTTCAGTAAGGCATTTGATAAAGTAGATCACAACCTACTACTTGACAAGATAGACAAATGTGGGGTAGACAGAACCACCACCAGATGGATCCGTAGCTGGCTGACCGGCCGTACTCAGCGAGTGGTCCTCAATGGCACTGCATCTATATGGAGGGAAGTGTGTAGTGGGGTGCCCCAGGGCTCTGTTCTGGGCCCAGTACTCTTCAACATCTTCATCAACGATTTGGATGAAGGGATAGATTGGGAACTCATCAAATTTGCAGACGACACCAAGCTGGCAGGAATAGCCAACACTCCAGAAGACAGTCTTCAGATACAGAAGGATCTGGACATACTTGAACACTGGGCACTAACTAACAAAATGAAATTCAATGGTGAAAAAAGCAAGGTTCTACATTTAGGCAAGAAAAACCACATGCACAAGTACAGCATAAGTGGCACCATGCTCAATAGTAGTAACTGTGAGAGGGACCTCGGAGTCCTAGTAGACAATCACCTAAATATGAGCCAGCAGTGTGCTGCAGCTGCCAAAAAGGCCAACACAGTGCTAGGCTGCATTAACAGAGGTATAGAATCAAGATCACGTGAAGTATTAATACCACTCTTCAATGCCTTGGTAAGGCCACACTTGGAATACTGCATCCAGTTTTGGTCACCAGGATGTAAAAAAGATGTTGAGACTCTAGAAAGAGTACAGAGAAGAGCAACAAAGATGATTAGGGGACTGGAGGCTAAAACATATAAGGAACGGTTGCTAGAATTGGGTAATGTCTAGTTTAACGAAGAGAAGGACAAGGGGGGAGATGATAGCAGTATTCCAATATCTCAGGGGCTGCCATAAAGAAGAGGGAATTAAGCTATTTTCCAAAGCACCTGAAGGCAGGAGAAGAAGCAATGGGTGGAAACTAATCAAGGAGAGAAGCAACCTAGAACTAAGGAGAAACTTCCTGACAGTGAGACCAATTAATCAGTGGAACAGCTTGCCTCCAGAAGCAGTAAATGCTCCAACACTGGAAGTTTTTAAGAAGAGACTGGACAGCCATTTGTCCGAAATGGTGTAGGGTTTCCTGCCCGAGCAGGGGGTTGGACTAGATGACCTCCAAGGTCCCTTCCAACTTTACTACTATTACTATTACTTTTGAAGAGAAAAGATAAGCTGATTCAGCTGTGAAAGTTGTGGGGGTGGACACTGTTTAACTTTTATTAAACACAGCCTCCACAAGAAGAAAAAAGATACTCTCTTTAATTACTATCAACTAAACAACTAAACTGCAAACTTAAATTGGAAAAGATTAATGAGGCCACTGCAGAAATATGTGCTACAATGAAAGAGTTTACTACAGAATTAAGATCCAGAAGTCATACTTCAAATTTTCAAACTGATCTCCAGACTACATCTGACTATTCTATAAATCAAAACATATTAGAAGAGGAAACAACTGAGATAAATTAGGAAGTTATTTTAACTTACAAATATTCCATTTACAGCTTTGAGGACCAGAAGAATCAAAGATTGGGATTGGAAACTTTAAAGCAACGAAGTTTTAAGGATGAGAGAAATAGATGCCTAATGCAGAGGATGGGATTCCTATTGTTTCAAAGGGCACTACAAGCAATAAAGAGAGATCTATTGACTGAAAGGGAAGCTTGGTTATGGAAACCTGTCTGGCACAGAAAAAAAGCCAGAATAAGACTGAAAAGAGAAATTTAAAATTGTGTAATGGATTTAAAGGCAATGTTGTTTTATGGACAGTTTTAAGGATTAAGATTCAGAGTTAGAAGTAAGAAAAAAAAAGTAAGAGGTTGATTATTAGAACAGTTGTTTTTAATAGATTAAGAATGTACTTTTTGGAATAACAGGTTTATTTTCATGAAAATTATTATGTATTGGAATGGAAAAAAATGCTGGCTTTTTAGATTTGGATTGTTTTAATAATTAATTGTTTTAAATTAGTAAGATGATGTTTTTGTATAATAATATAAATGTGATAAGGCATGATAATTAATTGGATGAAATTTGAATTTTGTTTAATGAATTGAAATGAGTTAAGACTTACACTATTTTGTTATTTTAAAAGAGATTGATTGATTGATGGACTATATATGTATAGGGTAGATTAATATTTTATCTTAATTAGGGTATGTATTGTGTAATGGAAGAAGAAATAAATGAGATTTGTGATAAAATGAGAGATATAAGAGATTAAGAATTAGAATATAGCTGGAAGGGATACCTGAATTGATAACTTGTTGATTTAAAGTTAAATTTGATTATGGTAATTGTAAATTTACAAAGTTTTAAAACAGGTTTAGTTATAGAAATTCAAATTAGAAATGGAATATTTTAAACGTATTATGGGAGCTGCCTAAAGAAAGGTGGAGTGATGAAATCCTCTTTGTCTAGCAGAACAGGAGTAAGGTATGTATTTCTGAAGCAAATATTTTGGTTTTCTGCCAGTATCTCTTTGCAGAAAGAATTAGAGAATCATTCAAAAGTTTCTCTGTTTGTAAAATCCATCCCATCCTTCAAAAAAAAAAAATTCTAGGGAAATTATAATTGCATGTGTTTCATTATATGATTTGTCCTACCAGAACAGGGAGCCACCAGCCTGTGGAGTTACAATAATCCAGTATGACGTGAGTCACTTCCTTGGAAAGGTGACACTCCCCAATGAACAGTTTAAATTACATCATCCTTTGCCTGATGATGAGGGATTTCTGTAAGTGACCAAAAAAAAAAAAAAAAAACCAGCTAAATTTCCCTTGTGTGGGAGAAGTAGCAAAACCTGGAGGTGGAGTTAAAAGAGGGATCCGCCTAGAATCATCAAGCAAACTAAGCCCAGAATTCCCTTGAATTCTGTTGATCCTTAGCTAACACCAAGCAGGTGCTGTTAGCTGGGAAGATTCCTGTGCATAGACATAATTAGCAACAAATCAGTTTAGCTGGACCTTCACCTGTGAACCTGATCTTTCAGAGCTTGACATATTGTACATTCATGATCAGATAGGAAGACATAATCTCTTCTGCAGCCTACATGGAGGTATTGATTCAAATTTAATTTATCATCCATTCATTGTCATTTGGCAATTATGGAACACATCTCATTAGGGTTTTTTATAAAATGAACTGCTGCTGCAAAAGGGTGACCAAGATAAATTAAGAAGCTTTTAAGACAAAAAAAAGAAGAAGAGAACTATCAAAGAAAAACTGAAAACCATTGTTAATCCTGTATGGGGATGGTCTGATTTTTTGCTTCTTCTTTCTTTGTTTTTGTGTATAGAAAGCCAGCTTGAACTTTGGAATGAAAGGATGTGCTGTAGCATAGCCAAGCAAAACTCCAGGGAGATCTTGGGCATATTATCAGGTTTCAGTCTAGATTGGATGTGCACAGCTCAGCTTTAAAGCCCTAGGAGACAAGGGACTTTGTAAGGATAACACTGACCAATGAGTCACAATGATGACAGCAGGGCCATTGTAATTTCTGAAATGAGAAGGTAAAGTATGCACACTCAGAAAAGCTTCTGCATCACTTTAAATGTGACTCTGTGAGAGTAAGTCGAGCAAGTGATTAAATGGGGAGAGGAATGATAACACTACCATTTCCCTAGAGCCCACAAGGGAAAGGAAACAAAAAGAAAAAGTTACTGTTGGATCACTTATGCATTTCAATCGTATATTTCTCCCCTTGTATCAGCAGAAGACAACACAAAGAGGAATTCTGCTGTTCCAGCTAAACCACGGGTGTCAAACTCATCGTGTCATGACGTATCATGACTTTTTTCGCATTGCCAGAGCTAGGATGGGTGCAGCCTCCGCATGATGCAACTGGCCCACAGGCCGGCAGTTTGACACCCCTGAGCTAAATGGATTTCATTTTTTTCATTTTGCAAACATGCAACAATACAATACTTCCACCACCTGGAGAAATATAAATACAAGGATTTTTTTTTTTTTTTTTAAAAAAAAAAAGCCTGCTGCATAAAGTAGAGCAAAAGGTAGTATTTTTAACCTTAATAGCACTAAAATTTAGACATGCCTACTGACCTTATGTGATGTCACATGACATAATCAAACTGCTGCTGGAAATGCATTTTTGTTTTTGTGAAAGCAGACACAGCAATATCAGGACCAATGGGGTACTGGAGAGTGGAGAGACATTCCACCTGGATAGAGGCAATAAATACAAAATACAGAATAACAGAGTTGGAAGGGACCTTGGAAGTCTTCTAGTCCAACCCTCTACTGGACTAAAAGTCTCTCTCTCTCTCTCTCTCTCTCTCTCTCTCTCTCTCTCTCTCTCTCTCTGTGTGTGTGTGTGTGTGTGTGTGTGTTTGTGTGTGTTCACATGAACATCAACTAGAAATGGTAGGCAAACAGCAGAAGTCCCATTCCAAGTAGGAGACCACCTATTTATTTTTTAAAAAATAAAACAAAACCTCCATTATAGACTTTGTAAAAGATCTATCTATCTATCTATCTATCTATCTATCTATCTATCTATCTATCTATCTATCTATCTATCTATCTATCTACCTACCTACCTACCTACCTACCTACCTACCTACCTACCTACCTACCTATAAAATTTATTAGCTGCCCATCTTACCATAAGGTAACTGGGTGGCTTACAGACATAAAAACACATCTAGATTAAAACAAGGGTAAATTAAAAACAAGATTAAAATCAAGGATACATGGAGAGGGAAGGGGCAGAGTAGGAGGAGGTGGGATCTGTTGTTACTTGATTAATCAACTCCACTGTGTTGTTCCCCCATCAGGGCTCCAGGCCAGCTCATAGATCCAGGCCCTTTAGGCCCTTACGAAATGTTAGGAGGGCTGAGGCCAACTTCAGATCAGGGAGCAAGATGTTCCAGAGGGCAGAGCATCAGCAGAGAAGACCCTCCTCCTCCTGGATCTCATCAACTGGAATAATCAGGCTGACAGGACCCACAGCAAGCATGCCTCCTCTGCTGGCATGAATGGGACCAGCCAATCCCAGTGGGGTGAGATGGTCCCTCCATGTCACAAAGGGCTTTAAAGGTGATCACCAACACCTGGAGGCAGACCAGCAACCAATGCAGCTCGCAGAGCAGTGGTATTACAGGGGCTGTAGCCTCCAAAAGCTCTTCATGGGTATTCCCATGTAGAGCACATTACAGTAGTCCAGCTGCAAGACGACTGGGGATTGAATGACTGAGCATCATTAAATTTCCTTCGTAGATTTTCCTTTTGTTCTTTTACTTTGAGAATGATTTACTCTGCATCTGGGTTGGCTTTTCCCAAGCTCTTAAAAGATATCTTTTATGAAAGATTTTTTATAGGTTTTCTGAAATGTTTAACTGGACAAATTATAGAGCCAAATCATTCTTAAGGGGCATGTAAAGGGAGAAATTAAGAGAGTTGAACATCACAAAAACCTGGAATTTGGAAGTTCCTTTATTGTTTGAATGATGTTTGTCGCACTTCTTTCTGGTTCCACAACACTCGTTAAAACCATGTTGATTAGCATGAAATTAGTCACTATTCCCTGTTACCTTTTCTCTAAAAGTTCCATTCATTATTCTATCATAAAGATAGGCAATAATAGGAACTCTTAAAAATATAGCAGCATTGCCATTCTTAATGTTTGAGACCTGTTCTTGCATCTATCAATCTCTAAAGCAGTCAATCTTTTACTCATCTACTCCTAACTAAATCTTATTTAATTCTGTGGGCTTTCTCCTGGGTAAAATAAATCTGTAAAAATATGGAATCAATGTACATGTTAAAACAATAAATGTGGGACATCCCTCTAGTTCAATGGTTCTCAACCTTCCTAATGCTGCGACCCTTTAATACAGTTCCTCATGTTGTGGTGACCCCCAACCATAAAATTATTTCCGTTGCTACTTCATAATTGTAATTTTGCTACTGTTATGAATCGTAATATAAATATCTGATATGCAGGATGTATTTTCATTGTTAAAAATTGAACATAATATTTATTTCTAATTACAAACAAATGAAATTTTGTCTTGAAGCATGGGTGCTCCACCTATGGCTCTGAAGGGAGACCTGACCTTTTCTCTTCTTTAAATGAGCCCTTGAAGTTGCCTGATTAGGTTAAGCATGACCTGTGAAAAATTAATATGATTGTGTATGGGGGGGAGTGCTTATGGGGTGGGAGAAAATAAGGATTAGTTGAGGTGATACTCAATGGGAGCTATACTTGTAGACATTTGTTGTCCATGTGTGTGATGTGGCCCACACAATTTGCCTCTTCAGCCTGAGCCTGTTTTTCTACCTCCAGCTGAAATTCACTGAGTGTGTGGAAGAGGACCCCTGTCCTTCTAGGACAATTGATCCTAATGACCTTCAGAGCTTCTCTCTCTGAAGAAGGCAGAAGGGAAACCTTGGCTCTTTTATGACTCGTGGACTTCAACTCCCAGAATTCCTGAGCTAGCATAGCTCAATTCTGGAGCTGTGCCTGCCAGAATCTTAGAGATTTTTGGAAGGAGGTCTTGTCCACTGAGGCAGAAGCAGCAGAAGGGAAATCCATTCCTTCCTCCCACCCCACTGCTGGTTCCACTGAGCAATAATCAACTGCTTTTGGTGCAGCAGCCAGGGCAGGAAGAATGGGGGGCATTACTGCAGCAACTGCAAGAAAAGGCCCCTTGGAGCTTCTTGATTCCACACTAGAAGCAGATTCATTTTGCCCCCCCCCTTCCTGGCTTTCCAGAGGCACACTAGGAAACAGAGAAAAGGCAGGCAGGAAGGGAAAGGGAAACACATGCTGCAGACCAAAACATCCACCCAAAGCAGCTTTCATCTCCTAACGTAGGACACCTTCGACATCATAGGAAAGCAACAGAGATGTCCCGAGCACCTTTTCCTGGGAAGCAAACAAACATACCACCATCCTTCCCCCACTTCAGAGCATGAGGAGACTGCTCCTTCCTTTTATAAACTGCCCACCTCAACGTAAAGCTTGTTGGACTTCTTGCAAGCTCAGTCGCGTCTGCGCGCCTGATCGCGAGATCTCGAAGCTTGGTTTTCTTCCTCCACAGCAGAAGAGTCAGGGAACTTTCCTAACCGTCCCGCTATCTGCCCACCCACAGAGGAGTAGTGGCTTCATAGGTCCACCCATCCCCCCTTTGAGCCCGAGCATCAGTTTTATAACCTGCCATCTGCCTCAAAGTACTTCTCTGTCGAGAGGAGGCAGCCTGCCAGGCGGATGCCTTCTTCTTCTTCTCCTCCCTGAAATGACGAGAGTAGGACGCTGCTGGCTGGGTCACCCTGCAGGGGAAAGCAGGGCTCTTTCTCTGAAAGGTGCTTTAGCCAGCTGAGGCTCCCGGCAGCAACACAGCAGACAATCTCTACCCCGAAGCATGCCAGAGCCGGGCCAGCATCTGTGAGCTCCAGAAGCAGCACCCGAACACGGCTCTGCCCTTGCCGGGCCAGATCCTTTCCTGCTTGGGCTTTCCTCTGCCTCCTGCTCCCCTCGCCTAGAGATGGATAGAGGAGCGGTGTCTCAGTTCCTAAGGCCATCGGAAATATGTGTTTTCTGATGGTCTTAGGCGACCCCTGTGAAAGCGTCGTTCGACCCCCAAAAGGGTCGCAACCCACAGGTTGAGAACCACTGCTCTAGTTAGAGGGATTGGGATCCAAAATCTTGTGAGGAAAAATAGAAGGCTGAGTTTGTGGGGAGAGGGATAGTATTATAAAATGTTTTCCATCATAGCTAGCCACTGAAGCAGGTTTTTTTTTTCAAACACAGTAATTCATGTGTGGACTTCATCAGAATTCCTCAGCCATCATATTGAATTCTGGGAGTTGAAGTCCACATAGATTAAAGTTGCCAGATTTGAAAACACTGCAGCAGAGGAAAGATGAAAAAGCTTTGCTCTTGAATTTTCTTCTTTTCCTCTTCCTTCCTAATTCCCTTTTCCTTCTCAATCACAGACTTATAGAGAGGGAGTATCTTGTTTTTATCAGGAGCATGTTGGCTCCAGATCTGATGACAAAAAGCTGGGCACAAACATAGTAGGTGTTTAGCATCTTAAAGCATCCACGGCTTTTCCCATGAAAAGAAGGATGCCCTGAAATCTGCGCAAACAAAATTGTTGAGAACAATCCTTGCTGCACTCAATAGAAGAGTAAACACCTGGTTAAAGCTTGAGACATGAATGCCTGCAACCCAGGTAAGGGCCTGGAGAAAGAGGATAAACTTTTGGCTGGAAATCCAAGCCTTCCGAGTCGGACTGACCCTTTTAGTTTTAATGGACAATTTTCCTTTTCCCTGGAACTAGGCCATACAATGGAAGCCATATGGGCTTTCTGTATTATTCCTATTTCTTCAGGATAAGACAGGGCCAATCAATCACTCAAAGAATAAGGAATATGGAGTTTCAGCCTGAAGTTAATAGGCTGTCCAATATGGCAGAAATTGGATAAATAAGAGCACTTGGGAACCAGCAAGATATCTACAAAATCTAACTTTCCCCAAGCAAAGAATAGTGTTTTTTGAAACCAGGTGTAATAACAGCTCAACTATCCACACTGTTGCAAGGCAGATACTCCAAAACCCCATTACCTCAATGTGCCTGCTTCATGGCAACAAGAAAATTGAAATCGTATTGCATGTACTATTACATTGTAAATTCTACAGGGATATCGGGTCTCTTTCTATTCTGCCTTTAATATGTAAATTTTCAGGAAGGCCAGACAATTTCTATGTGAAACATCTCCTAGAAGATTTAAAACCTTTTATCACTTGTGGAGTAGCCAAATTCTGTCTTGCCACAATGAAAATACGGCATAAGAGGTTACAAAAATGGTCACTTCTGTTTAATTTATCAGTTAGGTTTAATGTATGCTAGCTATTTCATTTTTATATAATAAATGTTTTACTACTAATATTTTAGATTTATACTTGCATGGGTAATTGGTTGTTTTCTTGCAGACATTTCATTACCCAACTAAGTAACATCATCAGTGCTATCAATTAATGCCCTATTATGACAATGGATGTCACATTTAAATGTATTGTTTTATCTTTGTTATTGTTGTGTCCTGAGCCTGCAAAAGCTGAAAGCAGGCTCAGAATTGTTGCAAATGGTCCCGGGCAATCCAAAAGCTGCCCGGGACCAGACAGAGTGGCACCAGCCTTGTGCGCATGTGCAAGGCACAAAAATGGTCAATTCCTATTGGTTCACACTGTTTGAGTTTCAGGCACTATAAAAGGCCTGCGTGCCTTTTGCTGCTTGCTTGATTGTAGGAGAAAGTAATAAAGAGCTTGTTGTTTTTCATCATGTGTCTTCGTCAATTGCCAATGCACCAAAAACACAACAGTTATGTTAGTACTTTATCTCATGTATTTGGTTCTAACAAAATTACAAAACTGTGCCTCACTTATTTTGGCCATATCATGCAGGGGAATTCACTGGAGAAAGCAATTATGTTTGGAAGAGTTAGCGGTAAAAAGAAACCAGGCCACCAAAGAACACAATGGCTGGGCACCATCAAAGTTGATATCAACCAGAGCATAGAAAAACTCAAAGAAATAGTGCAAGATTCAAAGAAGTGGAGACACCTGACCCATAGAATTGTCGAGAGTCAATTGGCAATTGAATGGATAACATCATCATCATCATTTCATTTTACTTTAGTGTTGTACCCCTTTAAAAAAAATAATGCTGGTCATTGATTAATTTGTTCTTTTCCCATGCAGTCATGAGCTCTTGGCCAAAATTTTAAAAGATGCTGATGGACGCTCTCTGTATACCTCCACAGCACCTTTATCTTTGGATCTAAAGTGCTGGCTAGCCCCTCCTTTTTTTTTTTTTTTTACCATTTTCCAACCATTCTTGGCACCTCTCAGGCTAAGCAGTCAGAGCCAAATGCTTTAACAGAGAAGCAAATTATTTATTTATTTGACTTAGACGCTGACTCCATAAAATGTAAAGGACTGCTG